TGAATGAACTATGAATGAATTGGGTACAAGTACTAACCCTAATTGGGTTGTACCCCTTATGGACTACCCCACTATAGCCTACACAATATGCATGAGCTATAATGTTCTGACACACCCCCATAGGCAAAGTGGGGGAGAACAAGGGGTCACAAGACCAGTCAAGCAAAGCAAAGCAAAGCAAGCTCAGGGTGGATCACAAAGTCACCACACATTCCGAGCACAAGTTCAAGGCCACAAGGCCAGTTCACATGCAGGAGTACATATATATAAAAGGCTAGACAAGCAAGAGCAGATATATATATATGTAACAGTACAAGCAAGGTTAAGAGGTGAGCAAGTGAGGCAAAGTAGGCACAAGGCCAAGCTGAGTACAGAAGCGCTGATGGTCACAAGGCGCAAGCGCCTTGGTGAAGATATCAGCAGTGTTGGCCTCAGAGGCCACGTACGCAAGACGCTACTGACCACGCTGCTGCAGCTCACGAGCAAGAAAGTAGCGGAGAGCAATGTGCTTCGTTCTGTGCTCCAGTCTCTGCTCCAGACACAAGGCCAGCATGGCCTTGTTGTCTACGTACAGCACTGGAGGAGAACGAGGCGGCTCTCCGAGGTCAGTCAGCAGGTAGGTGAGCCAGCGTAACTCCTGTGCAGCCATGGCTCCTGCGTAGATCTCAGCCTCACAACTGGAGCCGAGAACAGAAGACGAGCGAGTAGCCCGCCACGCGACAGAGCCGAAACCAAGGCTGAAGGTGTAACCCTGTGACGACCGCTGCGTAGCCTGGTCGTCAGCCCAAGAAGCGTCTGCGTGCCCAGTGAGGACCACTGGACTCTGCCCTCCAAGCACAAGCCCCATGCCCGACGTACTGCACAAGTAGCGCAACACCCTCTTCGCTGCAGCCATGTGCTCTGGTCGGTGTCTCCCAGGAGCAACATAGCGTGCGAGAATGCTAAGAGGGTATGCAAGGTCAGGTCGTGTGCAGGTCATCAGGTACATGAGGCAGCCAACAAGCTCTGGGTACGGGCCACTCGACTCTACGGACTCATCCGAAGGCAGAGCTGAGAGCGAGTGGCGAGTAGGCAGAGGAGTGGCCTGAGGCGAGGAGTACGTGAAGCCGAAGCGCTGAAGGACCTGCTGCACCATGTGTGACTGAGTCAGGGTAATGGTGCGGCGTGCTCTGTCCCGAGTGATCTGCAAGCCAAGGTAGCTGCGCAGTTCACCCAGGTCAGTGCACGTGTGTCTCTTCTGCAGCTCGGACTTCACGTGGGCGAGTCCAGCAGTGTCAGCTGTGGCAAAGACCAAGTCGTCGACGTACACGAGGATGTAGAACGGCGGCAAAGAAGTGTCGCTGCGCAGAAATAGCGACTGGTCGGCAGTAGAGGGAGCAAAGCCAAGAGCCGCAAGTGTAGTCCTCAGTGTGTCGTGCCACTCACGCGGTGCCTGGCGGAGACCGTAGACTGGCTGCCGGAGGCTCCACTGGGTGCCAGGAGGAAAAGACCCAGTGAAACCAGGTGGGCGACGCAGCCAGATCTCCTCGTGCAGGCAGCCCTGCAAGAAAGCAGTGCTGAAGTCAAGAGAGTGTAGCTCGTAGTCACGGTGAGCAGCTATGTGCAGCAGTACCCGAAGAGTGGTCATCTTCGGGGTGGGAGAGAAGGTCTGAAAATAGTCAACTCCCTGCCGCTGATTGAAGCCACGAGCCACGTAACGCGCCTTGAAGACAGGCGGAGAACCCGGCGGTCGCTTCACCCTGAAAATCCACATGCCACTGACGATGTTCGCCCCACGAGGGGGAACAGCGTCAACGTAGGTGCGTGTGGACTTCCAGGAAGCCATCTCTGCGTCCATAGCTGCCTGCCAATGTGAGGAGTAGGGACCCTCTATCGCCTCCGCGTAAGAGCGCGGAGTCGAGATGTCAAGTGCATCCGGGTCTCCCTTAGGGTTAAGCAGTACGGACACGAGATGAGTTGAAGCAGCGGCCAAGCACTGGAACTCCTCCTACCTGTCCTCAAGGACGTCCGTGCTAAGGGCACACTCACCCCCGACGGACAGAGGACAGACAGACTCAGACTCAGCAACAAGACTGGCGGCGTAGTCTAGGCGACAGCGAGCAGCGAAGTCGACAAGCTCAGCAACTAGGGCAGATGCAGCAGTGGACTCAAAGGAAGGGTCAGTGACAGTAGTAGCTAGGAGACGCGTGACAGTAGGACTAGCAGCACGAAGAGAGTCCGACTCCGGGTCGGCAAGAGCAGGAAGAGAAGACTCAGGAGGAGAAGGCAAAGGGGCACGCAGAGGAGCAGTGGACGGACGCAGAGACATCCGCTGCGTGCCAAGGACAGGTTGAGGACGCTGACGCGAACTGCGACCACTAGTGCGAGCAGCACGGACAGGCGACGCAGGGCGAGACGCAGGCTCACGACGCTCAGCAAGATCTCCAGTAGGACCAGTGTAGGGAGACGGAGCAGGCAGTGGGGAGGCCGGCTGTAACTGTAACTGCGACGGGACAGGCTGTGGACACTCTAAGGGAGGAGGAGGACCAGTAGAAGACGGGAGACAAAGAACCTGCTGAAGGAGCGGAACGAAGTACGGCCGAGGTCGCGCGGCGACTCCAGACACAGCAGGGACAGCACCAGCACCCCCAGTGGCAGCACCTGCACCAGTAGCAGCTCCAGCTCCAGTACCTCCAGCAGCACCAGTAGTACCCCCAGCAGGACCGCCTCCAGGACCGACAGTAGTAGCCTCCGCGCCAACACTCGCAGCAGCTCCAGCTCCAGAAGTAGCTGCAGGTCCAGCAGCTCCAGTACTCCCAGTACGAGCACCTCCGGGACCCATGGCACCAGCTCCCTCAGCAGCAACAGAACCTCCAGTACCCGCAGCACCTCCAGCTCCAGTAGCTCGCCTCCAGCGCCGGGCAAACCACTCACGCAGCTCCTGTGGAGAGAGTGGCTCCCGGCGAGAAGAAGCACCAGGAGAACCGCCAGGCACAGCACCAGCAGGCCCAGCTCCATCAGGCTCCGCACCCCCAGGCTCAGCACCTCCAGGCGTAGCACCCCCAGGCTCAGCACCCCCAGGCTCAGCACCCCCAGGCTCAGCACCCCTAGGCGTAGCACCCCCAGGCTCAGCACCCCCAGACCCAGCAACCCCAGGCTCAGCACCCCCTCTCGTAGTACCCTCAGGCTCAGCACCCCCACGCTCAGCACCCCCAGAGTCAGCACCCCCAGGCTCAGCACCCTCAGCAGCACCAGAGTCACCAGCGACCTCGACAGGCTCAACAGCGTCTACCTGGGACACACCTGAAGGGGCAGGAACCTGAGGGGGGAGGGGGTCTACTGGGGGGGGACCTGGCACGAGGAAGAGCGGTGGCGGGGGGAGGGACGGAGTGCGGTAGGGGAAGAGACGGTAGTAGGGGACCGACTCGTCGAACGTGACGTCCTGGGAGGAAAGAACACGGCAAGAGGTGGGGTGGTAGAACTGCCACCCTGGCGCGTCAGGGGGGAAACCCAGGAAGACGCAAGGAGCAGCACGAGGGGACAGCTTGTCCGCAGACAAGTCGCGGACAAACGCCCGAGATCCCCATACACGGAATGCAGACGCATCGCCAACCTTCCCCGTCCACAGCAAAGCTGGGGAGGTCTCCGGCATGGAGACCCTGGGCTGAAGGTTGATCTGATGCGCCGCGTACCGAACTGCAAACGGCCACAGAAAATGGGGGGCAGCCGCATGCATCATGGACGTACGGGCGACGTCTATGACCATGCCAATGCGGCGCTCAGCAATCCCATTTTGCTGTGGAGAGTCCGGAAGCGTGAAGGTCTGGCGGATGCCTCGTGCACGACAGTAGGCTCGCAGAAGGCCAGAGGAGAACTCTTCGCCTCTGTCAGAGTGCAGACGCAGAACAGGAAAGTCTGAGCCGAAGCTCCTCCTGAGCTGGAGACGAGCTGCGCGGATCCAGTCGATCAACACCTCAGTGACATCACCCTTGCTGCGCAAGGGGAAGACTGTGGTCTAACACGAGTAGTCCTCAACCACCAGCAGGAAGTAGCGCTCATGACCCTGTCCACGGACGCAGGCTGGGCCCCACACGTCCATGTGAAGCGTCTGCAGCGGGGCCTCTGTCGGAGGAAACTGGGAGGAGTGAGGGGTAGCCCGCTGCCGCCCCTCGACACAAGGGACGCAGGTAGGGCCAGGCCCTGGAGGAAGGGGAGGGAGGGACCGGGGAAGACCAGAGACAAGGACACGGGAGGACATGCTTCGGAGACGAAGCAGGGAGGGGTGACCAAGGCGGTGGTGCCAGAGGAGAGTCTCGTGAGACAGGAGGCGATAGAGCAGGGGGCAGACTCAGGACCAGACCTGGACGCAGGAGCTAACACCTGACCCGACGCAGCTACCTGACCAGACGCAGGGACTGGAGGAGACGCAGTGGTCAGTGTGTACAGGCTCGACCCCGGCCGACGTGTAAACGGGGCCAGGTGTCGGCCTGTCCGAGCGTCCGTGCAGTGGGTCACCCGCTGACTCGCAGGAGTGAACTGGTGAACCCCAGCATCCTGTAGGTCAGCACCACTCACCAAGTTCGTAGAGAACGAGGGGAGGTAAAGACCAGACAGGGTGCCAGAGGGGGCCGCCGGACATGGGAGGACAGTGGAGAAGTGAGCAAGGACAAGACCCCCAGAGGGGTCTACTAGGGAGACTGCAACTGGCCGACCAAGCGGCGTGAGTGTGGTGCGGTCTCGAAAGAAGGAGCGAGAAGCCCCCGAGTCAAGTGTGAAGGTGTGGGAGGCCGAAGCCGACACAGTACCTGAGAGCGCAGACTCACGAGTACCGGAGGAAGCAGACGCACCAGCACTTAGAGCAGCAACCTCGCTAGCACCAAGAGCAGCAGCCTCACCAGCACCTAGAGCAGCAGACGCAATGCCCGGGTCGGGCGGGAAACACCGGTAACAGTCACCCTCCTCACTAATTGACACAGTATACATAGCAGCAAGAATAGCATCCAAGTCAAGGTCAAAGATAGCTACCCCTGCCCTAGACAGCTCGCCCCAGCGAGGTATCTCAGTGGCCTCAGGGAACTGGTGACGCCAAGCGTCTGTCAGGCGGCCAAAGCAGCGCTGGGTGGGGTGCGCACCCCCAAACTGCTCACCCGCACGGTCGTCGGTGCGCAGGACGTAGGTGCACGGACCAGTACCCCCACCCCGCTGGCGTGCAGAGTACCACTCACGGAGCTGCTGAGGGGACAGGGTCTCCGGACTGCGCTGCTGCTGCTGGCGCTGACCACCACAGGAGCCACTCCTCTGCAAAGAGCCACGACCTCCTCCTCCTCCTCCTCCTCCGCCACCGCCTCCTCCACCTCCGCCACCTCCACCACCTCCGCTCCCACCGCCACCGCCGCCGCCGCCTCCGCCTCCACTGTCGCTGCCGACACCTCCACCCCCGCCACCACTCCCACCACCACCCCCACCCCCTCCACTGCCTCCACCACCGCCTCCACCGGCCCCGCTAGCTCCCCCAGCGCCCCTGCCCCCCTTGCCCTTGCCAGAGCGACGCTTCCCACTAGGGGTAGACGCCGCACCGACCGACTCCAGACCAACGAGGTCGGCCGCAGCAGTAGAGGCAACTGAGGGCAAGAGAGGGGTGGGGGAACACCCCTCAAAGATGGGGGTGCGCGGGTCACCACGAGAGGCCCGTACAGCGACTATGCTGTTCTCCGCTGCTAGGAGGGCCTTCTCGAGGAGGTCAACAGTGAGAGTGGTGGGACAGACCGAGAGAAAGTGGTCCCTGACTACGCGAAGGGAGTCAGGGAGGCGGGTGACTATGTAGTAGAGAGTGATGTACATGGGGGGGGGGGTTCTTGGCGCAGAACTCAGCAGGAAGCGCAGCGCGGTAGCGAGTGTCACTAGTGCGGAGGTGCGTAATGAGGTCAGCGACCGTGGGAAAGGCAGCAAGGTCAAGGAAGAGGTACGGTAGCATGAGGCGGCTCAGTGCAGCAGTGGCAGGGGAGGAGTAGCGTGCAACTACAGCGTCGTACAAGTTCTGAGCACCCTCGTACTGGCTAAAGTGCGCACACTCAGAGGTAGGCAGGTGGCGACGCATTGCAAGACGTGCAGCAGCATCGCGCGTGGCCCACTGTGAGCGGACAGTGGCGTCAGCATCAGCAGCAGGGGCAGGATAGGCACCAGAGGTGAGGTCAAAGAGAGAGAGACCGTCCGCCCTATCGCACTGTAAGAAAAGCTGCAGGTCATCTATCCAGACGTCAAAGTCAATGGCCCGACCCTCAGCGTCAAAAGCGAGGACACTAGGGGTAGCCATGACAGCAGTAGACTAGCAGCGCGAATAGTAGGGTGAGGGCAGTGCAGTGACAGAGGCGCTGCTCTTACCAGACAGGGCGGCGCGGGCGGCTCGGCTGTAGGGCGACTCGGCGGCTCGGCAGCTGGGCGGTAGGCGGCTCGGCAGCTGGGCGTCTCGGCGGCTCGGCTGCTGAGCGGCTCGGCGGCTCGGCTGCTGGGCGGCTCGGCGGTTGGGCGGCTCAGCGGCTCGGCTGTTGGGCGGCTCGGCGGCTCAGCTGCTGGGCGGCGCAGTGGCTGGGCGGCTCGGCGGCTCTGCTGCTGGGCGGCTCGGCGGGGCCGCAAACGAGGCGGCGGAAGGGCCGCTGAGAGGGCGGCGTCCGGGGCCGCTGAGAGGAGGCGGCGGGGCCGCGGAGAGGAGGCGGCGGGGCCGCTGAGAGGAGGCGGCGAGTCCGCTGAAAGGAGGCGGCGGAGCCGCTGAAAGGGCGGCGACGAGGCCGCTGCAGGGGTAGTGGCGGGGCCGCTGAAAGGAGACGGCGGGGCCGCTGAAAGGAGACGGCGGGGTCGCTGAAAGGAGACGGCGGGGCCGCTGAGAAGGGCGGCGACGGGCCGCTGAAGAGGGCGGCGACCGAGCCGCAGGGAGGGCGGCGTCAGGGCCGTGCAAGGGCGGCGACGGGGCCGCTGGTGAAAGGGCGGCGAGGGGCCGCAGGGGGAGAGCGGCGACGGGCCGCGAAGGGCGGCGGGTCGGGGCCGCAAGAGCGGCGGATCGGGGCCGCAAGAGGCCGCTAGGGGGCCGTGAGGGCGGCTTGGGCGGCGCGACGCGACCGTTAGGGCGGCGCGACGCGACCGCCAGGGCAACGCGACGAGGCCACTAGGGGCCGCTAAGGGCGACGCGACGGGGCCGTGAGGGGCCTAGTGAGGGCGCGACGGTAAGGAAGGCACACGAGGCGCGACTCGGGCCTAAGCGGAGCGCGCTCCGGGCAGGGAAAAAAAATTCGTGGTGGTGGGCCCTAGGAATCGTTCCCGTTAGGGAACCTGCTCGATACCATGAGAAGAAACGAGAATGAATGAACTATGAATGGATTGGGTACAAGTACTATCCCTAATTGGGTTGTACCCCTTATGGACTACCCCACTATAGCCTACACAATATGCATGAGCTATAATGTTCTGACATAGTTGTCTTCGTAGATAGCTTGCATCGTTGCTGGGGCCTCCCACGAATCGCCAGACGGCGCCGCCTGCGGCTCGGTCGTGAGCGTGTCCTCGCCCGGCTCGGCGTACGTCGGCCGGTTGTCGTCAATGGCGACGAACTCCGACGCGGGCATCGCGCTAGACCCGAGGCAGAGGCGGTCGATCAAGATGTCGACGTCGTTCACTTCCTGGTTGAGCCCGATATTGGCGACACTGCCGACTGCATTGCCGTTGCCACCGTTGCTGCCATTCACATACGGAAGGTCCATGGCTTATGCACGCGGGAGGCATCCGATGCGCCACCAGCATCGCTGAATGGTGCGCAGCGGAATATTCATCTACGCGTCGTTGAGCCATGCGAGCACGTCGCGAAGGTTCGGTTTGAATCGAGTAGCCGTGGATGTTGCGCCTTCGGTAGACCACATGCCGGTGAAAGCGCGGAGCCAATGCTGGCGATACCGCGCCTTCGCCATGGCGATGAGCCCCTGGTCAAGGGGGTGGGCAAAGCAAGTGGTGTTCAGAGGCAAGAACACCAGGCGGACATTCCTGAGAGAACACATGCGGAAGCTGAAGATGTCTTTCATCGTAGCGCCTTCGTACTTGAGCGCGTGGCTACTCGCGTTGTCAAGCAGTATTGTTATAGACACAGTAGGCTCAAATGTGCCTAAAACGAAAGATAAAGTGCATAGATGGATTTCTGCACAGCGACTTCAAATGAAATGCTACAAATTGGATTTGGAGAGTCCTGACGTCTTCTAAAATATGTAATTTAGATCGCATGTTTTCATTAAGAATTGACGACACAGCGTCGGTTTGAACGAACGGCGCTATAGCAGCCACGATAGTCTTAGAACACAACTTAGGAAGAGTTACGAGTTGGGAATGACTCTCAGCTCCTACAAACCCCAAGAGCCGAGGTACAGCAATGTGGAACAGTGCCACACTGTCCCAAACCAAGAAAGGTATCGAAACTACCCTTCAAAAGGGTCTATACCAAGAGAAATGTTACACAACACATTGTAATGTAATGATTCTCAATATCTTGAAGTGTACCATTTTTTTTTTCCGCAGGCTTCGCAACCACTTGAATCTTGAAACCAAGGCTCTGGTTCTTCATCATAAACTCGTCCTTGAGTACTTGATGGGTCTGCTGCACACACCTGCGACACGCCGAACGTTCCACACACGATAAAATAGAGACCGCGCACGAGACTCACGACAAAAAAGTAACCGCGCACGAGGCTCAGTAACCGCGAACGGGACACAAACGACCGCGTGACACGCGACTAGGGATGACTCGATATTGACTCGACACATACGCATTCGACATTACCGCTCATCATTCACACATTATTATAAGCATGAAATATATATTATCTCATGCCCTCATACCATTCCTTGCACACACGCATGCACGCACGCGGATTGCACCAACAAACCCCCCCTCGGATTGTTGGCCTTAGGATCTATTGCTCTCTAAGTTCGGAGCCATCCCAAAGCTTACAACACTTCCAATGCTGCTGCTCCACCAGCCTCTTGGTCATCATGTCAGCTGGCTGCCCCGTCGTCTTCACGTAGCACAACCCAACTTCACCCGTGGCCACCATGCTCCTCGTCCAATGCCACTTCACCCTCTTGTGCTTGGTGAGGCCGTGTAACACAGGGTTCTTAGCTAGGGCAATGGCACCCTGGCTGTCATAGTAGAGTGGGGTATGTTCTTGCTGCTCCTCCCCCAATTCAGCCAGAAAACGACGTTGCCACACAATCTCCCGTACAGCACGCAAGGATGCCATGTATTCAAACTCCACCGAGCTCAATGCCTTGTCCACCTGCTTCTTGCTTTCCCAAGAAGTTGGGCCTCCACCTACACAGCATGTGAAGCCCCCCACACTTGTCATGTCCTCTGGTTTCGATGCATAAGAAGCATCCGAGAATGCGGCGAGGAACAAACGCCCGGGTTCAACACCATCTGCGCCCTTTTGGGGCCTTTGCGTCGCCTCCGAATATTGCAGCCCAACGGTCGGTGTTTGGCCAAGATACTTGGCCACCATCAATCCAGCTACTACCTGCTCCTCATTAGGGCATTGCACAACCCTAGCTAACTACCCGGTAGCAAAGGCGACGTCCGGTCGGGTGTTTACCACAACGTATATGAGGCTGCCAACGAGTGAAAGCGACGCCTCTCCTCTTCACCAATGCTCTCCTCCTCTGGTCCCTTCACACACTTGAACCTAGAAGGGATTGGAGTAGCCACATGGCCTTTCCTCTGCCAAAATTTGGCAGCCAATGCCTCCAGGTACTTGCGTTGGTGCACTCGCATGCACCGCTTCTCCACGTCACGTTCGATGGGAAGCCCGAGGTAGAATTTCACGTCGCCTAGTGCCTTGCACTTAAACTTGTCCTGAAGCTTCAGCATCACCTCTTTCACAAGGTCAGAGGAGGGTGAGAAGATAAGGATGTCATCCACATAGACCACCATGAAGCTCCTCTGCTCCCCCTCGCCAAGCATGAACAACGAGTGATCGGCCATTGAAGGAGTGAAGCCGATCTCCTCCAACACTTCTCGCAGCTTCAAGTACCATTGTCTAGGGGCTTGCTTAAGCCCGTATAAGGCTTTCTTCAGCTTCCACACTCTTCCACTACCATCATCAAACCCCTTTAGCCGCGCCATAAAAATCTCCTCCTGCAGGACGCCGTTGTGGTGGTGCTGCCACTGCTCAGCTCCAAAGGTACCTCCACATGCTCCAAACCGGAACTCTTCACCTCCCCAAACCGCACGCCTATCTTCGCCTCATTCTCCCACTTCCAATCCTTGTACATCAGGTTCTCCATGAAATTGGTGTCCCTGATCACCAAGAGTTTCTTGGTCAATGGGTACCAGAGAAGCCACCCCTTGATGTTTTGAGCCATGCCCAGGTGCACGGCCCATATCGCCTTAGCACCAAGCTTGTTGTGTCGAAGATGCTTAGGCACGAGCGCCATACACATGCACCCGAACACCCGAAGCATATCCACATGTGGCTTCCTTCCAATCAACTCCACATAGGGCACCCATTTGTCAGCTATGTCGCTCTTCTTGGACAGAACATACACCCAAGTCATGCGGGTGGAGACGTCGACAATAGTAAGGAAATACTCAGCTTCAGTAGCTCCAAGCTTCAAGAGGCCCACCACGTCCATCACCACCTCATCATGTGGTGCCTTAGCCGTTGCCTCCGAACTCGAGAACAGGAAAAGGGTGTGTGAGGAATGAGGAATGAATGAACTAGCAAAGAGGTGGGTACAAGTAGGAAAACCTAGAAGTGTTGTACCCCATATTGTCTACCCCACTACAGCCTACACAGACTATAGCATAAGAGTTTGACACACCCCCATAGGCAAAGTTGGGGAGAACAAGAGGTCACAAGACCAGTCAAACAAAGCAAACCAAGCTCAGGGTGGATCACAACATCACTACACAGACCGAGCACAAGAGCAAGGCCACAAGGCCAGTTCACATGCAAGATCATGTATATAGCTAAACAAGCAAGTGCAGGTATAAAAAGATCACAATATAAGCAAGTTCAAGAAGTGAGCAAGTGAGGCCAAGTAGGCACAAGACCTAGCATCGTACAAAAGCGCTGATGATCACAAGGCGGAAGTGCCTTGGTAAATATATCAGCAGTGTTGGCCTCAGAGGCCACGTAAGCAAGGCGCAGCTGACCACACTGCTGCAGCTTACGAGCAAGGAAGTAGCGAAGAGCAATGTGCTTCGTTCTGTGCTCCAGTCTGTGCTCCCGACACAAGGCCAGCATGGCCCTGTTGTCTACGTACAGAACTGAAGGAGAACGAGGCGGCTCTCCTAGGTCAGTCAGCAGGTAGGTGAGCCAGCGTAGCTCCTGTACAGCCATGGCCCCCGCGTAGATCTTAGCCTGACAGCTGGAGCCGAGAACAGAAGACGAGCGGGTAGACCGCCACGAAACAGAGCCGGAGCCAAGGCTGAAGGTGTAACCCTGTGACGACCGCTGCGTAGCCTGGTCGTCAGCCCAAGAAGCGTCTGCGTGACCTGTGAGGACCACTCGACGTCGCCCTCCAAGCACTAGCCCCATGCCCGACGTACTGCACAAGTAGCGCAACACCCTCTTCGCTGCAGCCATGTGCTCTGGTCGGTGTCTCCCAGGAGCAACATAGCGTGCGAGAATGCTAAGAGGGTATGCAAGGTCAGGTCGTGTGCAGGTCATCAGGTACATGAGGCAGCCAACAAGCTTTGGGTACGGGCCACTCGACTCTACGGACTCATCCGAAGGCAGAGCTGAGAGCGAGTGGCGAGTAGACAGAGGAGTGGCCTGAGGCGAGGAGTACGTGAAGTCGAAGCGCTGAAGGACCTGCTGCACCATGTGTGACTGAGTCAGGGTAATGGTGCGCTGTGCTCTGTCCCGGGTGATCTGCAAGCCAAGGTAGCTGCGCAGTTCACCCAGGTCTGTGCACGTGTGTCTCTTCTGCAGCTCGGACTTCACGTGGGCGAGTCCAACAGTGTCAGTAGTGGCAAAGACCAAGTCGTCAACGTACACGAGGATGTAGAACGGCGGCAAAGAGGTGTCGGTGCGCATAAACAGCAACGGGTCGGCTGTAGAAGGAGCAAACCCAAGAGCCGCAAGTGTAGTCCTCAGTGTGTCGTGCCACTCACGGGGCGCCTGGCGGAGACCGTAGACTGGCCGCCGGAGGCTCCATTGGGTACCTGCAGGAAACGACCCAGTGAAGCCAGGTGGGCGGCGCAGCCAAATCTCCTCGTGAAGGCTGCCCTGCAGGAAAGCTGTGCTGAAGTCAAGAGAGTGAAACTCGTAGTCGCGCTGAGCGGCTATGTGCAGCAGCACCCGAAGAGTGGTCATCTTCGGGGTGGGAGAGAAGGTCTGAAAGTAGTCAGCTCCCTGCCACTGACTGAAGCCTCGAGCCACGTAACGCGCCTTGAAGACAGGCGGAGAACTCGGCGGCCGCTTCACCCTGAAAATCCACATGTCAATGACGATGTTCGCCCCAGGTGGGGGAACCTCGTCGACGTAGGTGCCAATGGACTTCCACGAAGCCATCTCTGCGTCCATGGCTGACTACCACTAAGAGGAGTAGGGACCCTCGATCGCCTCAGCGTACGATCGAGGAGTCCGGATGTGTGGTGCATTCGGGTCTCCCTCAGGGGCAATCAGCGTGGACACGAGATGAGGCAAAGCAGCAGCAAAACAATGGAATTCCTCCTGCTTGTCCTCAAGGACGTCCGTGCTAAGAGCACACTCAC